TTCCTCTTTCTCCAAAACATGAATCTGGAGTGAGTCAGAGAAAGCCTCAGGAGGAAGCCGCAACTAATGTCTGTGCAGGGAAGACCAGGAGGCGAGAGTGAATGCGATTCTTTCCGCTGCCTCTGACTCACCCGGCAGATCGGAGCACCTGCATTTCTGGATGTGTCATCCCCGTGTGTCCAGGCGCCTCGAGGACCTGAAATGATGCGTGGACAGACCCGTGTCTAACATCCCCTCGGAGGGAGCTCCGCGGGGTGGGCGCCCCTGGCTGGACCTAGCCAGACTGCAGACTGCATCGCGCCAACCCTTGATGTGTTTCTTCCATCCAGCTCGTTCCTACTATTAAAAATATTTTTTTTTGAAGGGGGAAAAAAAAAGACCCGCACTTTATTCGCTTCAAATGTTCACCACTTTTATTCCTCGCCAAGCCTTTCCTTTCTAGATGACGAGGACCGGGAGGCAGGGCCATTGGAAGGAGATGCTGAATAGGAAGAAAAGAGAGGCACTTGACGGTCCAGCCTTGTGAATGCAGAGACTGTTTCCCTTCTAGCGAGAGACAGGGAGAGTGTGTGTGCGAGGGCTGGGAGGTGGCTCCCCCTTCCTTTCCATTCCGCCCCCTACCCCTCCCCCCTGAAGCTGCACATCCAACCATGAGTTGCCTGTTGATTTCCTTTCGCCCGAGAAGCCACGCAAACTGGAATTAAACTGCAGCGAGAGAAGTCCCTGCTCGCCGGGAGAGAATGGGATGGTAGCGGCGGCTCCCGGCTTCTCGCAGAGAAATCAGAGTGTGTGTCGTCCGAACGGAGGCGGAGATACCTCGATACACCCCTCCCTCCCCCCCACCCTCCCCGTAGACTTAACACCGCAAACGCGGATCAGGCTGTGGCTTTCCGGACCTTGGGGGAGAGCCTTTTCGGAGGAAGAGAGGGAGGAGCTTGGCGGAGGGAGGAAACTACAAATCGGGACACTAGTTCTTTGCACTGCATTTCCTCCCCTCCCTTTGGCTGCTCGGAAAGGAGAGAGAGAGAAAAAAATACGCTTGGCTGGGAGATGCAGTCCGCCGCCGCCGCCTCAGCCAGAAATGCAAGATTAGATCTCTAAATGCAGTAAAAACACGGCCGGAAAACAGACCCGCCGGAGAAGCAAGCAGACATTTCACAGCGCCCCGGGAAAGCTTCAGAATATATCTGACTCGCTCTTCACTGCTCCCCAGCCCCATTCATTTCATCACCGGAGGCGACCAGAAACAAGTAAGGATTTCACTTTCCCATCTGCCTGGAGACACACCTCCCCGCTCCCTCCCCCACCAATTGGAAGAGTATTCCGGAGGCTCCCGGCGGGAGTGGATTTGCAGCGTCCCAGCGGGAGCCAGGAAAACCTACGCATTCTAGGCTCATCATCTCCTCCCCACCCCAGACTCGATTTACACTGTATCCCCGGCACCGTCGCTAAGTTTGAGTCGCCGCAAGTTCGGGCGGCAGAGACAAAGCCGCGGGCTTGCCCCAGCCGCGGGGAGCCGCCGCCTGGCTCCGCGCTCCTGCAGCATCGCCGCGCCTCTGCTTCTCGCCCAGTGCGGATGCTGTAGATCAACAGGTTCGGGAACTTGAGCGGAATCAGGAGGGCCCGCCGGGTCCCGCAGCCCGGCAGCGGGGGGAAGGAAGGACCCACAGACTTGTGGCTGGCTCGGCGCGCATGCTGCGCGGGGGCTCCAGGCTGACGCGCACCCATTCGCTCTCCCCTCCGGTCCGGTTGTCACTGCCTCCACCCCACCGGTCTGGGATGTACCTTTCCATCTGTTGCTGTTTTCTGCTCTGGGCCCCTGCCCTGACGCTCAAAAACCTGAACTACTCCGTGCCGGAGGAGCAGGGGGCCGGCACGGTGATTGGCAACATCGGCAAAGATGCGCGGCTGCAGCCGGGGATTCCGCCCGCGGAGCGCGGCGGCGGCGGCGGGCGCAGCAAGTCCGGTAGCTACCGGGTGCTGGAGAACTCGGCGCCGCACCTGCTGGACGTGGACGCGGACAGCGGGCTGCTCTATACTAAGCAGCGCATCGACCGCGAGTCCCTGTGCCGCCACAACGCCAAGTGCCAGCTGTCCCTCGAGGTGTTCGCCAACGACAAGGAGATCTGCATGATCAAGGTGGAGATCCAGGACATCAACGACAATGCGCCCTCCTTCCCTTCCGACCAGATCGAGATGGACATCTCGGAGAACGCGGCCCCCGGCACCCGCTTCCCCCTCACCAGCGCGCACGACCCCGACGCGGGCGAGAACGGGCTCCGCACCTATCTGCTCACCCGCGACGACCACGGCCTCTTCGCGCTGGACGTCAAGTCTCGTGGCGACGGCACCAAGTTCCCAGAGCTGGTCATCCAGAAGGCGCTGGACCGCGAGCAGCAGAACCACCACACGCTCGTGCTGACCGCCCTGGATGGCGGGGAGCCGCCGCGCTCCGCCACTGTGCAGATCAACGTGAAGGTGATCGACTCCAACGACAACAGCCCCGTCTTCGAGGCGCCCTCCTACCTGGTGGAACTGCCGGAGAACTCCCCGATGGGCACCGTGGTCATCGATCTGAATGCCACGGACGCCGACGAAGGCCCCAATGGCGAAGTGCTCTACTCCTTCAGCAGCTACGTGCCCGACCGCGTGCGGGAGCTCTTCTCCATCGACCCCAAGACCGGCCTGATCCGTGTCAAAGGCAACCTGGACTATGAGGAGAACGGCATGCTGGAGATCGACGTGCAGGCTCGGGACCTGGGTCCCAACCCCATCCCGGCCCACTGCAAGGTCACTGTCAAGCTCATCGACCGCAACGACAACGCGCCGTCCATCGGTTTCGTCTCCGTGCGCCAGGGGGCGCTGAGTGAGGCCGCCCCTCCAGGCACCGTCATCGCCCTCGTGCGGGTCACTGACCGCGACTCGGGCAAGAACGGGCAGCTGCAGTGCCGGGTCCTGGGCGGAGGTGGGGCGGCCGGCGGCCTGGGCGGGTCGGGAGGATCGGTGCCCTTCAAGCTGGAGGAGAACTACGATAACTTCTATACGGTCGTGACTGACCGCCCGCTGGACCGGGAGACACAGGACGAGTACAACGTGACCATCGTGGCGCGGGACGGGGGCTCCCCTCCCCTCAATTCCACCAAGTCGTTCGCCGTCAAGATTCTGGATGAGAATGACAACCCACCTCGTTTCACCAAGGGACTCTACGTGCTGCAGGTGCATGAGAACAACATCCCAGGAGAGTACCTGGGCTCCGTGCTCGCCCAGGACCCCGACCTGGGCCAAAACGGCACGGTGTCCTACTCCATCCTGCCCTCGCACATCGGCGACGTGTCCATCTACACCTATGTGTCCGTGAACCCCACCAACGGGGCCATCTACGCCCTGCGCTCCTTTAACTACGAGCAGACCAAGGCTTTTGAGTTCAAGGTGCTGGCTAAGGACTCCGGGGCGCCCGCGCACCTGGAGAGCAATGCCACCGTGAGAGTGACAGTGCTGGACGTGAATGACAACGCGCCGGTGATCGTGCTGCCCACGTTGCAGAACGACACCGCCGAGCTGCAGGTGCCGCGCAACGCCGGCCTGGGCTACCTGGTGAGCACCGTGCGCGCCCTGGACAGCGACTTCGGCGAGAGCGGGCGCCTCACCTACGAGATCGTGGACGGTAACGATGACCACCTGTTTGAAATAGATCCGTCCAGCGGCGAGATCCGCACGCTGCACCCCTTCTGGGAGGACGTGACTCCCGTCGTGGAGCTCGTCGTGAAGGTGACTGACCACGGCAAGCCCACCCTGTCCGCCGTGGCCAAGCTCATCATCCGCTCGGTGAGCGGCTCCTTGCCCGAGGGGGTGCCCCGGGTGAACGGGGAGCAGCATCATTGGGACATGTCGCTGCCGCTCATCGTGACTCTGAGCACTATCTCTATCATCCTCCTCGCGGCCATGATCACCATCGCTGTCAAGTGCAAGCGAGAGAACAAGGAGATCCGCACTTACAACTGCCGCATCGCGGAGTACAGCCACCCGCAGCTGGGCGGGGGCAAGGGCAAGAAGAAGAAGATCAACAAAAACGATATCATGCTGGTGCAGAGCGAAGTGGAGGAGAGGAACGCCATGAACGTCATGAACGTGGTGAGCAGCCCCTCCCTGGCCACCTCCCCCATGTACTTCGACTACCAGACCCGCCTGCCCCTCAGCTCGCCCCGGTCGGAGGTGATGTATCTCAAACCGGCCTCCAACAACCTGACTGTTCCTCAGGGGCACGCGGGCTGCCACACCAGCTTCACCGGACAAGGGACTAATGCGAGCGAGACCCCAGCCACTCGGATGTCCATAATTCAGGTAGGAGACTTTTAGCATCACTGGGACTTCACTTTATTGCTGGTTTGGGAGCTGTCCTGAAACCTTTCTTACAGGACAAGCCACTGGCAGCAGCAGTGAGAGGGTTTGTTTTTTTGTTTTTGTTTTTTAATGAAAATGGTTTACACTTTTGCCACTGCCTGTGTACAACATTATCTATACATATTCTCTCCCATGTAAATAGTCTAAAATCTACAAGATGTAAATGTCTTACTTTTGTTGCATTTTTAAAGTTTATTTTTGTAGTTTTAAAAATGTTAGCAAGGTTAAGTTTATTCATAGTTTATTTTACTTTATTTTTGTTTGGTGCTCTACATTTTTTCCTGTAAGAAAGGATTTCCAGAGTAGGAAAAAAAATGTTTTGCCTAATTCACTTTAAAAGTGCATTTAAGTCCATTAAAATACATAATGCCAAGTCAGAGAAATGTGTACCCAGATGTTAAGGAGTTAACTACCTAAAGTGAAATATAGAAACCTGCCAGAATTCCAGAGCCTGAATCAATTTGAGGCAGTTTTCACTGCCACCCCCAAAGTCAGCTTGATATTTAAAAAGTACTTTCAAGGACATGAATTTTATCTACTCTTTAACTAAAACTGCAGCATAATGCATTAAGTTGCTTAAGCTTTGGAAATGTGACATATACTCTTAGGATCTTTCAAAAGTTTGTATCAATGTAGACTCTGGATAATGATGAGTAACTATCTATGAAAAGTTTCAATTTATTCTGTCCTGTGGTTTTCCTGATCTGTGTGTTGCTGTCATTGATGAATGTAGAAAGTTCACAAGAAGGTCATGGACTGCTTTGGGGCTCTTGAAAACAGGAAGCGAAGTTGCACTAAAGGCACTTGCCATAAAGAATTCCAGGATGCATTTAGTTTGCATACTGTGTATTTTCTGTATATCTAAGTGATATTTATTATGTATTAGAAAATATTGTTTGAAGGTTTTGATATATGAAAAAAATGACCCAGCATGGACATAGATTTTAACAGCAGCAGGTGACTGTATTGTGTCTAGTCATTGCCTAGTTTCTTTTATCCACTATTGAGTTGTGTCACAGGAAAACTTAATTCTCCTCTATTATGAATGTGAGTTACTACAACTTACTCTGGATGAGCAGTACTGGAAATTCAAAACTGAGTTTAACTATGAGTGACACTTTGGGAGGAAGATTAGTTTGGGGCAAATGAAAATAATTTGTTCATTATTTTATGCTTTCAAAAGCAAACACCTTTAAATGACACTTAAGTAATGTTTTTATTATTCAAATAGGGTTTTAAAATTTCATAACCTTATATTTTCTGAGACAAAGGTAACAAATGCTAAAACTTAGCAAAACTTATTTTCTTATAATAGTATAATGCCCTTGTAAAAGAGACTCTTGTACTTGATGCCACTGAATATACCAAAGTATTAATTGTACTAACATTAAATTTCACTTTTTAGTGTTTACTGATACCAGTAATCATGGCTTTTTGAGGTTTAATAAAACTGAACAAGAAATTTCTCCCTTTAAAGAAATCATGGTTTCCATGAAAGTCTTTCTGTGACAGTAGAAAACTGGTATTTATGATAATCTTTTTAAAGAGAGATGTTAAATATATATATTTATAAATCTTTTACAGTCATTTCACCAATACACATGTTATACACTCTTCTTATATTTTTTACCATTGACATTACAATGGTATCACAGAGGCTTAATGCTGGATCTTCTACTTCAAGCTCTATCAGTTGAATTCTTATTTAGGCTCCACATAAAAATGAAGTTGGTCTATTAGTGAGGAACAATCTTGGATGGAAGTATCCAGGAGGTTTTGAGGGTTGGGGTGGCCACATTGTATTTATATCATAGTGTTCTTGAAGCTGGTCATTGCTTGATGGGTGGATGGATGGTGGTGGTGGTGACGATGATGATGATGATGATTCTTCTCATTAGCAGTAAAACTCGAGGAAAAGCAAATCACACACACACAGGAAGAGAAGGAGAGAGATAGTTTAAACAGAAAACAGAAGGACAAACTTCCTTGCCATTCCTTTTTTTCTTGAATCTTAACCCACACCATAAAGACACAGAAAAAATGTTTTAAATTCTTGAATTCCCCTTCCATAAATTGTTAAAACAGGCTTTTTTTTTCCTGTTGAATTTTTGCAATCCTATAAGGAAGGGATGCTCTGTAAATTCCTACTAAGTTAATTTCCTTTTAAAAGTATCAGGTTTTTCTCAACATCTACTTTGGAAAACAGAGTAAATTGACTTTAGTTACCTTTTTTCTTCATTTTTTAAACTGGCATGCTACAAATACTCTGGGCTGAAGTGATATGCTTAAATTAAAGTGTTCAGGTATCCCATAATCTTCTTTCAAGTGCATTTATTAGTGGGTGTATTTAACTCAGCCTGCTGAGGAAGCACACTATTAATCTCATGTGTATTTCTAAGGATGAATTTTAATCCATCAGAGGACACTTGGACTAGCAGCTACTAGACCTGGTTTATCTTATTTTCCAGCATGTAGAAGGTGTATGGTGTATTTGTATTGATGGAATGAAAAGAGTTTCATAATTGTCTGAGATGCATTGATAGAGAGTGGTGACATAAAACTTAGAAACTTCAGGATTTATAAGACTCATGTTACAGCTCAAATTAAGATTTATTTTAGTATCAAAAGATTTTATGTGAGTCGTAGGGCTTAAAATTTTAAGGTTGAGATTTGTAGGTTCTTGGGCATAAGGGTATTTTTATTGAATATGGATGTAGTACAATTATGTAAGCTAATGAAGAAAGAGGACTTTGCGAGAAGAGATTTTATTTCAGGTTTTTAAGAGATTTTATTTCAAGTATCTCAGCTGAAGTGAAGTCATCTCTGAAGTGTTTAACCAATAGACTAGTGATTAAAATATCCTCAGTAGCGTGACTCATAATAAAAGATTGTTATAATGAAATGTTTTATTCATTTTAAAGCTATAAAATTTATTTTGAAAAATAGGAACATAGATTTGTGGTAGGTAAGGCAAATAGATTGTTATACAAATTTATAAAAGCACTTTTCACAGAAACAATTTCCATATGAATTATTTTATATATTAACATGAGAATCTAAAATCAAGTAGAGATCATCACTAATTGTCACAAGTAACTGCTTATTGTGGCTTATAAAATGATTTAAGTCTCAGAGAAACTTCTCAACAGGTGTTTTCAAAGAAGACTTCGCTGAGAAGAGGGAGAAGACTGGGGAGTTCTTACTAGTGGGTATATTTCCAGTATTTGTTTGAACATCTGTGTTTTCATATTTTTTGGTAGCACTACTATAAGTCATCTTAGTATGCTTTCAGAGAAGAAAATGTATAGAGCCAGCAGAATAATACCTACTAAAATAAAATTTTGAAAGGAATACATTCTTACAGTTCTTTTACAGTTCAGTTTTAAAAAGATTCACATTAGGGCTGATTTTAGATTTTTTATGTTAGAAGAGAAAATCCTTTTGCTATGCATATCTGACATTTTCAATGAAAGGGAATTAAACACATGATAAGTCTATAAAAATGAAATTGAGACATAGATGACTCAAGTATTATAGTATGGACAATAAATTCAGTGTTTTAGAATGAAAAGGTGAAAGAAAAATTGTATCTTTACTAGGAACATTATTCATTGTATACTTCTATTCCCACTTCTTTATTTTCTTCTTTATTGACAATAGGAACCCAGGTGATTTCCCTAGATCATGGTCTTCAAAACTACACTCTAGTGTGTTAGCGATTTCAGTAACAAACATAAAGTGTGTGAATATTTTTTCTTCATTTATAATTTTGAAGATATTTTCCTGCAATGTTATTCTAATTCGGCACAGTTTGATTAGTTACATGCAATCATTTCCATAAGCTTCATATACCTCTTTATTTCTAGGGGTAATAGTTGGTTGAGTAAAAAGGGAATGTTTCTTTCTTACTACAGGCCTCCAGGAGTGTCTTGTGCACTTGTCTTTAATTTTTTTAAAGGTAGGATTAATTCCTACTTTAAATTAACATGAGTACATAATCATAAAACTTTTTCTGTTTTATTGTGTATTAAAAGTAGTATAAAGTGCAAGTAAACTTAATTAAAAAGATAATCAGCCATTAAGGTGTTTTGACGTTCTTTACCGAAGAATTTAAAATGCAAATATTATCATCATTCTTAATATAGTGTTACTTTTACTCTTAGTTTTGTGTGTGCCCATAAAAATCCGAGCTCCAATATAAATCTGTGTGCATTTCTCAATTTTACCATAAATAAATGCACAATATGAACTAGAAACCTGAGAATCTTATTTTTAATATTAGATATAACTACTCATAAGTTAATAACGTCTTCATCCACTAGCTTTTAGTTTTCAATAAAATTTTCAAAATACTAGTTGGACAATTCTTGTTCTTACACTGAGATGATAATCCATCAGTCTTTTATAAATGTAAAAGTAAGATAATTTTACATTTTAGTTGGATTCTATGAGTGAATTCTATAATTTTACTTGAGGTCTATGAGTGAGTTTTATAATTGCACTAAATACTAGTATTATATGTAAGTCTACTTAGAGGATTTTGGTATCTTTATGTTATTTAAGGCTGTGTGCAATCATGAAAAATATCAGGTCATGGAAAAGTATGCCCTACAATTCCTCTCTCAGCTGCTTCAACATATTTTTTAGTTAAGAAGAAAATTTATATGTTTTAAACATTTTTCTATTGCCTGTGACTATATTGTCCAAATCACACCAAAAAAACTCCAATGCCATATTTTCCAGAAACTTTTCTCTATAAAGTTTATGTTATAATATACATTATTTCTTTTTTTAGAATGCATAGACACAGGCTTATATAGAATATTAAAATAAATTAATTATTAAAATAATTCCAAATATCTCTATTAGATTATTAAGAAATATACATATTTTAAGAGAAACATTCTTTAAAATCTCCAGATAAATATTAAATTCAAGTT